GATTCTACCTTTGCTTCGATGCCGCTTTCGTCGCGCCGCGACGAATGAAGTTACGAGCCACGGAAGTCGTAAAGCTACTTTTGAATCAAGCCGTACTTGAAACTTGCGATGTCCCGGTACCGGCAGCTCTGAAAAGTACTTGCGGTGAAGTAGCGAAAACATGCTAACGAATGAGGCGATACAGAGTATCCCGTATCATACGCAACCCGAACTTTGAAAACGTATATTCGCCAAATTATTGGTGATAGAATGCCATTGCACGAAATTGCTAGGAATTGGCAAGATGGGAATGTGGGAATTCCCGCAGCAGCAGTTTCCCCACATTCGCCGCTAGGTGGAAGCACAGCATCCAAGCCACTTTAAAACGGGGTTTCCGAATGAATCAACGATACGACCAGGAATTTCGGTTTCGAGGGACTGCAGATGGGATTTCGAGGCAAACTCTGCCCCTAAGATTCTCCTCTGCCTGACCGGCATCAGCTCGCGCGTCGACTGCGAAAGCAGACCGAACCGAACGAGACGGAAGAAGGTGTGCACGGTGCTTCCTCCTGGCGGCGAACGCGAGGAAACTGCGGCGTGGTCGCATTCGTCGTATCGTCCGTTCCCGGGAATTTCGTACGATGGCGGTGGATCCCTCAGAATTTAGCGAACAGAAATTCGCATTCGTACGGGACACCCTGTACTTCTAACGCCTGGCTTTCGATTTTCTGGTTTTCTCAGATTTGCGGACGGAAAGTATTCGTGCTTCGAATCGATGACGCAAGGTCGAATGGAATTTTTCTTTATAAAAATAAAAAAATATGAAATTTGAAGTTGCAGGGTCCACAGACACCCTTATAAATAGGAAAGTCTTGGACCTCGATGGCAACTATCTTCGCAGGAAAACTTTCGTTCCTATATCAAAAATGGCTGGTTTTGGGGTCTCGTAAATATATTATTTTAAATTTCCCTGTCCAGTTTAGTAAGAGATGCACTCGAAAGATTGCGAGTGAAATACTTGCAAATCCCGTAATTCTAGCGGAACGAGAGAAGCCAGATTGACCATCGCGTCGTGTCTCATCGGAGCGTCATTGAACCCTGTTTTTTTTTTTGCAACAACGTCAGCGAAAGAGCGTTTCTCGACGTAAACAGCCGCTGGATGGTCGTTTGCGAGAAAATTTGACTTTCGACTCGACTTTCGGTCTGGTACGAAAGTTCTTCATCGCGATAAATTGGCTTTTGGCTTTTTAAAACGACGAAGGATCGAGGCGAAGGAGAGCCAACCTCGAGATCGCGCGTTTTTCGAACGCATCGGATGATGCCGGCGACCCGCTCTTTCGCGTCGTCTTCGAGATGAACTCGAGATCGAGACCGTTCGAAATTAAAAAGAGATAAGCGACATTTCTAGCAGAGATACGGGGGTACGGAACCCGCGATGATCGAATGACGCAGGAGGAGGTTCTCTTCCTTCTCTTCGTTCTCCCACTCTCGGGTGTCATCTCGTGATGTTAATGCTCGCCCCTGCCTTCTCGTATTGCACGCATTTCTTGTAGGACGGGCCGAATCGGGTCTGAACCTCGCAGCGAATCGACCCGGCTTGCAAGCGACCCGCGAAAATGCGAGATACAAAAATGGCAGAGATACTTGTTAGCATGGATCGTTCCTTCTCCGCATTCTCGGACTGCCGGATTCAAACTTTTGGGTGTCGATTCCGGAAATTTGAGAACCCTTTAAGTTTTAAGGCCTGTCGTCATGGAAGGGGGTTCCTCGCCTCTTTTCACTTTTTTTTTTCACAACTTCAAGGAGACCTGGCAGGGTTGTCGATGATCCAATCGATCGTACCGATATATGATAGTACCGATATTTGCTAGTACTGGAAATGTACCCCGAGAAGACGGTGCTTCGGCTCGTCCTCGGGTCGCTCGCTTCATCGAGTTGTGTGTCTATCGGTACTTCGTATTGGCGTTTTTGCACGAGGTTTGCCGGCCAAACCTCGTGCAAAAACGCCAATGCCAGAGAGGCTTTCAAATCCTCTGAACAAGGGTCGCCATTTCTTTGGGTTCCTTTTTTTCTTTCTTTGGAAACATTATATGGAGTTGGGAAAGCTTCAACCTATAGGAGAGAGAAAAAAAAGTTGGAAACAGGAAGATGCTGAAAAGCGAAAGTTTTTTTTTGGCTTACGAAGTGTTGCTTCTGGAAATAATCTATTGCTGAAATCCAAAGCGAAATCTGCGGATCTAGAAAAAAGAAAGCTTTATTCCTTTACAGGAAATGAGAAATGCGGAAAGGAGAAACGAAAGGCATTTCTCCATAGGGATATCATTTCGGGAAACGGGAAAAGCCTGCTTCAGTTCGCGAACAAGTCTGATTCGGGCTCGAAATCCTGTTCAAGTTAGCGAACCCCCTGTCTTTTTTTTTTTACAGTAGTTGGTTATGTTCAGCTGGGAAGCTCAAAAAGAAAAAAATTTGGTGTTAAACGATAACGAGGAACACACGTATCACTACCAAGGTGAAAGTGAAACAAGGTGAAGGTGAAGCAAGGTGAAGAAAGGGATAGCATACAAATATTGGCCTTTCTGCGGAAGGCGACAAATATGCACTCTTCGTTCCGCTTTCTTGACAACCATTCCACGTAGAACTTGTGACATCTGTAGATTAAGGCTTGAGCTGCGAATTAGAGCGAGAGATGGGGTGTGACTCCAGAGAAACATGTCGGCTCGCATCATCCGTCATTCGCCGATTGGCTTCTAGCTGGCTGGCTCTGGCGAGTGGGACTTTCGCCACAGAGAAGGAGGAAAGTTGAATCGTGAAAGAACGGTGTCCCCAAATGATCTTCAAAAGGGAGTGAGAACGCAATTCCCATACTTTTTGCAGGAACTTTTGAAAAAAAAACTATTGCCGTAGAGGGCTCCTGCGGTTAATGAACATCTGCTCCGAGTATATCGCGATGGTTGAAAAGGAAAAGCCTAACTGAACGACACAACTACAGGGTGGGCCAAAAAAAAAACCAAAGCTATAATTTTCGGTGAGTCGTCAATCTCTTTGTTGGTTGCCGATTTTGATTAAAATTGGTAGGCTTATAGGGTGACACAATTGAAGTTTGTATACCAAATTCCAACCATCTGGCTTTCAAATGATAGGAGTTGTAATTATTTTCTGAAGACCAACGACAAAATGTGCTGTCGAAAATATCGATATGACCTTCCGGCCGGGATGAAAGGGAGGTCCGAATTCATTGACCTTCCATCCCTGCATGATGCTCCAGAGGAAGATTGGGAGGCACTGCTTCAAAGGTTTATTGGCCGAGCCATTGATATGCGGTGTCCCAGACTAGAGGCTTGCATTCAACAGAATGGAGGGCACATTGAACACCTTTGCAGTTGAAATGTACGTCCCTAAACCAAGTTGTATGCTTTCGTGTTTGGCATTTGTGCATCTGTTTTTGTTGGTTGTTTTTGCCAGTTGTGAGAATTTTTTTAACTGAGAGAAAGAAGGAACACTTACTTTTTTGGTGATGAAAAATAAATTAAATGCCAATCTAACAGTTTTAGGAATATTTATAAGAAATTTATCACACAAACCCTAATTGTGTCACCCTATGTGTATGCCAAATGTCATAAAAATCGGCCACATATAATCTGATTGACAACCAGTGGCGTAGCCAGGTTTTCATCAATGGGGCTAAGCGGAAAGTTGGGGGGGCTAATTGGGGGCAAAGCGGAACGTTGGGGGGCTAACTTCGCCTTGTCAGGTTGGGGCGGACGCATTTCGACCAGAGTTGGGGGGGCTTGAACCAAACTTGGGGGGCTGAAGCCCCCCCCCCCCTCGCTACGCCACTGTTGACAACTTACCAAAAATGATTGCTTTGTTTTTTTGGTCCACCCTGTATATACATGGCGGCGAGGGGAAGAGGGGAAGGGTGGTTCAACCAATCACACCCTTTGACTATATTGTTTCTATACTAATACTGATAGATATTCATCGCTGCACATGTGGCATCATTCCTAAAGGCCACTCCTCCCCCATTGTCATGACTAAGGTGTGCACATCCTGAAGCGGCGGTGCTCAACCCGCTGACCGCAGACCTTCCCTTGACCTCTACTTTATTCTCGCTTTCCTGCCTCTGCCTGCGTCTTCCCCCGTGGCAGGGACAGTGGGGATGCCTCGAGGGGGGAGGGGTTTGGGGAGGCATTCGACTCCGCACTCGTTCTGAAAGAGGTCTAATGCCCCAATTGAGTTTGTGTGGTCTCATGATTTCTTCCGCTCTGCACCCGAATGCAGTCACTTTTTCCGATACATCATTCTCATACCATATTGACTGCCGAGAATTCCTACAGCTAACAACTCACGACTACCCGCTTAATGATCTCGCCACACAAAGGACTTACCTCAGGAGATAGAGCGAGATCCTTGAAAAAACAGCTGATCCGGATATGACGTCATCTGCTATGGAACCTCTGTAAATCGGGTAGAGTCACCATCTCTTACTTTCACCAGGCCTCTAGATTTTATGAAATTCAATAACGTTAAGTTCTCTTACCTATAAAATAAATGGATAATAGCAGTCTGTTCCACCTAAGTATGTTGTGGACATGGGGAAAGCCATACGAAAACTGTGACGTAAATACCGATGAGAAACATGAAACCCGCGCACTATTCTAGAAAGATCAGGAAAGTTCTTTCTCAAGATGGGTGCCTCGACAGCACAGCTTTGTGGACTCGAAGCAAAAGCAGCTCAATTATAGGTTTAAACGTGATGTACATATTCATATCCGCGGGAGAACTAAGGCAATAGAGATTTTTTTGAAGTGGAGTTTGACAGATTTTCACTCGACTGTGATTCTTAGTATTATGAAGGTTTATAGACCGAGACCCTCACGTGTCGTGAGTCATTCGTGAAAGTGAGGTAGAGAGAAGGAAAAAAACCCTGTAGACCTCATTTGCATATTTGTTCTGAACTTGTAGGTCACTCTCTTCCAGTTGTGCTGAAATCTTAGTGTGACCACAAATATGTTTGTTTTTCTGCAGATAATTTTATTTCCAAATTCCACTCAGGACCTGAGCCGATTGGTTGGCCTAGGCCCAAATATATATTGAACGTCCCAGAAATCAACCAAAGATGGTAAAGGAAACGGCATACTATGATATCCTTGGAGTGAAGCCCAATTGCACTGGTGATGAATTGAAGAAGGCTTACAGGAAATTGGCATTGAAGTACCATCCAGACAAAAATCCCAATGAAGGAGAACGGGTGAGCTGAGGGTTTTGGCTTCCAAACTCCAAAGCCATGGTTATAAGACCTAGACCCAGACCTAGGCTCTCTGAGAGAGAATGTTAGGCTGAAGCTAAGGTTATTTCAACTGCTTTTTTTCCCCATTCCCAGTTCAAGCAAATCTCTCATGCTTATGAGGTGCTGTCTGATCCTGAAAAAAGACGTATATATGATGAGGGAGGAGAGCAAGCGATCAAGGAAGGCTCTGGTGAAAGAGGAGGCTTCTCTTCTCCCATGGACATATTTGACATGTTCTTTGGTGGTGGCTTCTCACGTGCCAGACGTCCTAGAAGGTACATGTCCTTCACATAATTTATTGGTGCTCATTGTTTCCCTGTTGAAATTTATGATCTTTCTGTTATGTTTCTAATCATGATAGAGGAAAGGATGTTGTTCACCAGCTCAGTGTCTCGCTGGAAGAACTTTACAATGGGGCTGTGAGAAAACTTGCCTTGGCCAAGAATGTCATCTGTGACAAATGTGAAGGTGAGCCATTGCAGATGCTTATTATTAGCTTATGGTTCAGGTTCCTTGATCTGTTGCTGTCAGGGTATCATGGTTTTTTAGGGTCATGTTCTGGTAGGCAAACCAATGAGAAAAGTTTCTTTGAAAAGTGGATAATTACTGAGATACTTAAAATTAAGTCTAGCAGCATTCTTGAAATTTGACATGGGCCCTGTGGAATGTGCTTGCAGCATGTTGCATTTGATTTCATATTATTGTGTGGACCTGTCAATCATTTTGGCATATCTTTTTAGTTTGTTGTCAACATGTGGGCCCACCATAGCCCAGGACAGTCCAAGGTTTACTGCTGCTATGTAGTAAATTAGATAGAGTGAGATGGGTCCATCAGCACCTAGCCCTAGTATAGCATTCCCTACTTGCTGTCCTGGGCCAGCAACCAATGGATGTTGACAGTATTTAATCAGCATACAACGAGAAGAGAGCATCACCTAGTGGTGCTCCAGATGTGCTCCCAACTATTCTACTCTGAGTTCCGTCACTGATTGGTCACCCAGTGAGCCAGCATGATGTTGCCCATGTTATGCCACTAAGAGGCAACTGCCATGTGCAATGCACCCATGAAGACAAGGCATGGAATGAATGGATGTAGAATGAATGTGGTATGAAGGAGCATATGGTGAGTCAGGTTGAGAGAGGGATGTTTGGTTCAATCATGTGGAGAGGATGATTGGTAAGCAATTGGCAAAGAGTGTGTGTAAAGCTGTTATGGATGGAGAGAATGGTAGAGGTTGATCAAGAAAGACTTAGCTGGACCAAGTGAATGAGGTGCTGAAAGAGAGAGACATTGGGAGTGAGAGGAACAGGAGAGCTTTTGTGAAGAGATTCTTGGATGTGTCTGAAGCCAGAGAGGTGTGCAATGATAGGGATAAGTGGAGAAGCTTGATTGCTGCTTGTGCTTACCCCAAATGGGAAATGGACGTGAATGTTACTGTTACTGATTTTTATGTTAAAGTATTGCTGTCAATTCTCAATGGTTGCAGTGAGAGAGTCATTCTTCTCCAATTCTCGGACATAAACCTTATTAACCCTTCAAGCGCTGAGTTTTGACCTGACCTCCTAAGTGATGAACATATGGTGTATGTGAAAACTGCTTGAAGGGTTAAAAAGCAATGGACACTAAATTTACCCCCATTATAGTGGCTATAGTAATAGATGCTATGCTTGCATTAACCTGTATATTCAAGGGCTGGGTGAAAATTTCTCAGCCCAAGTGGAAAGGAGTAAGCATAGTTATCTACAAAACTTTTCAACATAGTCCCCTTGTACTTGTTTGCACTTACTCCACTGGTGGTAGAAAGCCATTATACCATTCCTGTTGAATGATACTTCCTGCTCATTGCACCAGTCCCCCTTACAGCATCCACAACCTGTCTGTCGTTGAATTTTTTGCTGAAATCAGCCAATTGCCAATTATCTTCGAAATTGCTGATTAACTCGAATGGCCTCAAGACTGAAGTGCTTGGTAGATTCAAACCTATGAAAGGAATGAAGCAAGACCATGGCTTGGAATAAAGCAAGCCTATGAAGGGAAAAGAAAAATGGGGGGAAAGGCTATGCATGAAACAAGCCTATCAAAGAAAATGAGTTGCCTAGGGAAGGGCCCTACCATGCATTCAGTTAACTGTGTCATGCACTGACAGATTGGAACAATGTCCAGATTGCTTCTGCTAATAGATCTAATAGATCGTTTAACTGTGGCACTGGCAGATGGACTTGAGCTGGGATTGCTTCTGGGGCATTAGATATTGCCTCAACTATTTACATCTGCAGCCATAGCACATGACAGCTGAAACTTTCTGGATTGGGTTTGTTAGTCAGACTTGTGGCTTCAACCTCCTGGATATGCAGGCTGCCTGATCCAACTGAAGGGGGTGATACTGCATTTTCATGGTTGCATTAGTTTGGAAGGTTTTTTTTTTTAAACTTTGGTGTATATACAGCTCAGATATGTGGCTGTTGCAGCAGAGTGACTGCAATACGATCCTGGTGATGATGGCAATTCACCATTGCATGGGCTTCTTTCCCATGACTTTCCTTAATTTATCCTAGGGCTTAGTTTATCCATTTTGTCAGGGTTGGGTCCAGTGTTATTACCCTAATGTGCCTCAAGGCCAAGGCCTAAAGGTAGCAGAAGCAATCTGGGCATTGTTCCAATCTGTCTAAGTAGGACACAGTGAACTGAATGCATGGTAGGGCCTTTCCCTGGGCTATGCTTTTTCTTGCATAGGCTTGTTTTGCATCTAGCCTTCCCTTCCTTTTTTCCTTTCCCTCATAGGCTTGAGCCATTCTGAGCCATGCTCTCCCTTCATTTCTTTCATAGACTTGAGTCTACCATGCATTTCAGTCACGAGGCTGATTGATCTAATAAATTGTTAACTGTGGCACTGACAGACAGACTCAAGCCTGGATTGCTTCTGAGGCATTAGGTACAGTCTAACTGTTTAAATCCATAACCATAGCACCTGGCAATAGAAACTTTCTGGATAGGGTTTGATCGGTCAGGCTTGAGACCTCAATGATGATGCAGGCTGCCTGTCAATCTGTGGGATGGGATCTTTCGCTATCCATTGTTTCTTTTAACTTTCTTAAGCTTTGCCCCAACTCTGCAGACTATTTTGCAATAGTGTGGTTCTGGAATTTAATTGTTTTCACAAAATCAAGAAGCAATTGGTATAAAGGCCTATAAAAATTCAACTCTGTTGTAACTCCCAGGAAAGGCACTGTGCATGGCTAGCCAACAGCAACAGATACCTGTCCTTGTGAACTAATAAGAAAAGGAAAATAGGCAAGAATTTCAATCAAGCAAACATTGAATGTCAAAAACCAGTATCTTTACAGGAAGACAGTAACTCAGAAGGAAGTGAAAGCAAAATAAGCCTATTAGTTTCTGAATGTTCTGCTGGATCCTCATCAGGGGCTCAGTCCTGCTAAAACTTTCAGTGCAAGCAAATGTTTTCTGAATTTTCGGTAGAGCTAAGGAAGGTTAGAAGAATTGGAAAGGGTATGGCTGAGAGGGTGTCAGGTGACTGCACCCACAGCTTAAGTCTATTCCACAACCACCACAGAAGCACATTCCATTAGCTAGAGAGAGCTCATGCTCATATTACTGGAAGGTAACTAGTGCAATATGTGCTGTGGAAATGGATGTGACGAAGCTCAGGGGGGCAGCCAACCTCCAAATAACAGCCAAAAAGAAATTAAGCCCTATGGCATGGTTTCCAAAGCTCCTTTGAAGTCACCCATTAAGTTTGATAGTTCCTTCTGGAATTTCAAACAAGCACATGTATCTGGGATTGAAAGATGAGGAGTGTGACTGCCATTATGACTGTGGTCAAGTAGAATTTCTCAACAGGGTTAGCAAACCTCTAAGAACCTTGATGAGGCTCCAGGGAGTCTTTGGAATTATGCCCAGACTGAAAAGTAAATGAAGTACAGTGAAAACTCGTTAACTCGAACTTTTAGGGACCGGGCAAATCGTTTTGAGTTATCCGAAGTTTGAGTTATCAGGAATCGCCCCCCCCCCCCCCAAAAAAAAAAAA